TGGGTTATTTGGCTAAGCGCCTCGTTTTGGCGCGCATTAACGCCAGACTGGGCCGTTATTAGTAGGATAAGATGAATATAGCATATGGCCACTTGTACAGCTCTAGTTAGAGTACTTTGAAAAGACAGCTGTAGCTATCCATGAGCCTCTAAGTAGGGGCTTGGGCGTCTGAGGACCCATGGGTTTCTACCCTTAGGACGTGAGATTGCAGGCACAGGGTTTTAGGGTCTGAGCTTGTAAGGTTTGAGGTTCTACCAGTTGCGGTAGACAGGCTCACCGAAACCAAGCGTCTTAGGAAATTTGCAAGAAGGAACGGAAGACCTGCCATTGGGATCAACGGGAGCCAAGTACGATTTTGGGAACTCGGAGTTGTTGAGCCGTGGGCGCTTTAGAGAAGCAACTGTGCCGTAGCAACTTAGCAAAAAGCTGTTCTTGCTCAGCCTGGGCCCTTCGGCAAACATTCAACTTGATGCCGCCTGGCATCTACCAATTTGTTTATCAGGAGGGGGCACATCCTGAAGACCCCAGAGCAGCATGCATCATTTTGGCACAAATACAAAAGTTGGTCAAGTGCTAGGAGCTTGTTGCAAGACAACGGTTGCATTGTGCATCGCCACATCCTGCTCGGATCAAGCTGTCACATTGCCTCATGCAGAGCAGACATCCACCAGCATGGTTGCTGCCCATGATGACTGCAACCTCCACCCCAGCACCACCCCACTCTACCCGAGAAACAGGTCTCGCGAAGGCTATGCTCTTTTGGATTGTGCCAAGTGCTTGAGAACTGGAAGTCACGCAGCATGCTGGTAAAGGCACACTGCATTCCGCATGCATCTCAAAACTCTTCCCCTCTTGCTACGCGAGAATCTTGAAATGAGGATGTACGGGACGCACAAGCCCATGCATTGTAACACCCTAGGAAGCTGCAGCAAATCGAGGCCATTTGGGTTTCTTGCAAAGCCTACCAAATCAACTTGCTCAAAAACAGTTGTATGGGCGGAGGGCACTCAAGATCTGAGGCTGAATGCATAAAAACCATGCCAATGCCAGGCCTGAGCTCATAGCATCCACACGGAATTTCTGTCATCTACATGGGCTACTGTCTAAACTCCTAGTATCCCCCTTAGTAACCCCTATAGCAGTCGCCTACATAATCCCCCATATAACACCCTTTAAGGAGTGCCTAGCAAAGCCCTATCATGTGGCCGTTGCTACAAAGTGCTTTGGCCTGGAAGCCGCTTCTAAGTCGCTGTCGAGCCCTGAGCGTAAGAGCCAGCTTCTCGTCCGAAATCTGGAGCAGCAACAGTAAGTTTTGGCATCTACAACTTGAGAATTTTTTCAATTCAGGGGAGCGGCCGACTTTTCACAGAGCTTTGAGATATGAGATCTGATCGCGCCAGCAGGGGCTCAGCAAGGGCTAAAGTTACAGTTGCCCGTTATCATCCTTAGCAGCTAGCTCTCCTAGGCTGGTCTTGCAGCGCAGCTCTGGACTGGAAGCTTCTGTGTATGTTTTTTTTGTGGTGTTTTTCGTTTCGTTTGGGGGAGGGGGGGGGGGTTCGAAAATGAGCAAGCACACGACGTTGCTTTCGAGTTGTGCGCATATGTTGACGATGATACTGGTTCAAGTTCCGCTGCCAAGGCTGAACTGTAGATTTTACTTGCACAACCTTGGGAAAGTTCTCGTCAGCAATCCCAGGCGAAGAAGGCTACATGAAGCTGGGCCAGGATGTCTATGACTGTGACCCCTCAGAACTTGTGAAGGGAGACCTCGAAATATTGACCTTCAACATGAGCTCTCAGGACTTCCTCAAGCTTCAGTGCCATGAACTAATCCCCATCACACCCCCCCTGCGGCATGATCTTAAACTGTGACCCAAAGACTGGGCCAGCATTGACTAGAGGGATGATGTAACATTTAGGGGTGAGGGTGTTCTTCATGCTACCAGGCAGGGACTAATCCATCCTTTCAATGAAGCACAAGCCCGGAGACCAAAAATCGACATAGCCGTAAAGAACATGAAGACGGGCAAGAGTGGCAGGGCAAGCATCAGGAATCGGAGCGTCAGCCACATTGAGAGGGACTGGATGGAATGCAGCGACGATGGAGATCCCGGATGGCCATGGACAGGAGATGATCTGCAGCTACATCCAGGAGGGGTGGAGGGCCCAGCAGAGTCCCGAGTGCCAGCCCAGTGACAAGGGAGGGCCATGCAGAGGGAGATGAAGGACGCCATCTCGAGAAGGCTTGAATTTCCAAGCGGAGCCCAGTGCAGGGCATGCACATCCTGAGATCACAAGCGAAGGCGAACCAGAGGATAGTCAATGAGGATAATGGGCTGACTAAAGGCGACAACGGTGTTTGCTACCGATGAAGATCTCAGGGCCATGGACTCGTTCAGCTCGCGGGTGTTCCTGGCCGGATTCGAAAAGAGCTTGCTTTGGAAAACTACGCCCTTGGTCCGACTTCATTAGAAGGAGCTAAACGCCCTAACCCCAATCTTTAAAGGAACTAAACACCCTAAACCCTATAGCAGTTCCCATTTTCTTTACCATTATCCCTATATAACCTCAATATAAAGCCCCTACATCTAACCCTAACATATACCCTATTATATCAGTTTCCATTTTCTTTTCCGCTATCCCTATATAACCCCCTAAACCCCCAAACTCTGATGAATAGCTCCGCCCAGGTTTTGCTCAGCTCAGCATCTTCGACAGGCCTGGCACCACGAGCCAGCGAGGCGCCAGAGTTTAGGATTTAGGGTTCAGGGGTTTAGGATTTAGGGTTTAGGACTTAGTTAGGGTTTAGAGATTTAGGGTTAGGGGTTTAGGATTCAGGGGTTTATGGTTCAGGGTGGGTTCATCGGGACCATCGAGGTCATGTGAGCTATCGTCGAAACTCCTAAAGGGGTTATATTGGGGAGTATTTCAGGGGCATATTAAGTTTAGACACTCATGTTAAGGGGTGTTAATGAGGACCATCTAGGTCGTGTGAGCTAGAGTCTAAACTCCTGAAAGGGGGTTACATAGGGGAGTAGTACAGGGTTATTAATGGGGATATTAGGATTTTAGACTATAGCTTATATGGGATGGGTTATGTAGGTTGATTACCCAGAATCGAATGGAAAATGAATGGAAGCTACTATGTAGGCCTTTAGGGAGGCCTTACCAAGTTGCAAAATGGAATGGACAAGGAAATGGAAAGTGAAACGGAAGCTGCTACACTATACATTGGCCTTTGCGGGATTCTTTATGGTTCACGGATGTTGCGCGATAATGGAGAATCAAATCAGAGAATGGGAGATAAAACGGAAAACTGGGACTATGTAGGGTCAATTTAGGGCTTTAAGGTATCGGGTGCGAGTTTCAGACTTGAGTGGCTTCAGCGTTTTGAGTTCAGGTCTTTTGTTCATAGCTTGAGGGTTTGGGCTTTGGATTTCAGATAGCAACAAGCGCCAAGCCTTCGGGCATAATCCACGCACCCTTACCTGGGGTTGAGGGTTTCAGGTTCAGGGTGTAGGGTTTAGGGTTGACGCATGCAAGCCTGTTGCAAAAGGGTTTAGGGTTTAGGGCTCTTTGTAGCGTTTGCTTCCTCAACTGTCGTCGACGTCTTTCACCACTGAAAGCCAGAAGCAAGCGGGATGCCTCG